GCAATAAAATTGTGGTCAAATATATTAATATTAATTCATCAGTCGTTTCATCCACAAAAACATTGAAGGTAAAGAAGCTTAGGTAGATGATAACTAAGGTAAAGACCAAGCATTCAGACTTGAGTTTTCAATGATTTAAAATTCATATTGATATAATAGTGTTATACATTATCATATTTATGAATTCTGTGCTCAACTTACTACAGTAATGATGACTTGTCCATTTATCTTTGTAGTTAGGTCAATTGTTGCTTTAAATATTTTGAGGCCATGTTTTCAAACAGTCATTTAAGTTTGAAATTGTTAAGTATACCTTTTGTAGTAAGGTCTTTTTTTGTTTAACATTAACATATTGATATCAATTCTTTTTTAGATTGAATTCTTCTTCTATATGATCTTTATCAACTTCCAACCTTTTCATATTTTTCACATTTCTATCATATTTTTTCACTCTAATAAACCTTGTCTTTTAACTTCAATACTTGATCATTATGATTTATTGTAATTACTTAATTTTTAAGTTATTTCTGTCTATATATAGAAAAAACTTTTAAAAATCTACAGCTGTAAAATACACTGGAGTGGGTTCCTAAGCAACACAAGTATGTTTTTTCAGTGATGGAGGCCAGAAGTTAAGAAAGATTAAGGTGTTAACAGGGGCGGTTTCTTACAAAGTTTGTCCTTTTTCTTTTTTAGGTCTTCACATACCATCACCTTTGTGCACAGACAGCCTGGTATCTCTTTGTGTCCAAATATTCTCTTATGAGACCATCAGTCACAGTGGAATAGGACCCATTAAAACAGGCTCACTGTTACTTAACCACTTCTCTACAACCTCTGTCTCCAAATATGTTTCTAAGGCATTACAAATAGGGCTCAATATATGAATGCAGGAGAAGACAATCTCACTGTAATACAGTCATTACATTTTATGAATGTTATTTGTCCTATGTCTTCTACTTTTTCCTCTTCTTTATTTCATTGGTTACTTCCTATATATGACTGCATAAAAACTCCACAAGGAATGATCTAGCAAGTGGGAAAACAGAAAGGAAGTCACATGAATTCTTCCAAACATAAAACTTTGACATGAAATTCTACAATTTCTTCTAAAATTTGAAAATAAATATATTAAGGACTTTTCCCACTAGAATAGTTATTTTCTCATTTTTTTCCTCACTCATCTTTAAGGCCTTTGTACTATGTGTCCCAGTTGTCCCATCTAGAAGCACATGGGGAGATATTCTGCAAGTAAAACACAACAAATACTACAGAACACTTTGGGAGAGAACTGTCCTCTTTACTACTTCACTGCATTTATTACTCGCTGGAAGTATTTTCTGTATTTATTTATTATCTGTTGCTCTTTGTCAGCCCATAAATTTTGAAAATCTAAACTTCAGCAATCTTGTTTTTTACTCTAATGTAGTACGTACAACCCACATAGATGATGATCAACAAATTTGTGAAGAGATTAATAGAAATAAAATATATGTTAAAGAATACAACTTACAGTGTTAAATTATTGTCTATTTTTTAAAATTATGTAACTGTTTTAAAGGTTTTTTTTTTATTCTCATGATGATAAGATAAAAGGAAGCAAAGCAGTATGCATTGTAATACCGGACTTCAAATTCTCAAACTACACAACAGTGATAAAAATGAGATACTAGCACAAAAACAGATACCTGGATAAATGGAATAGAAGAGTTGGTACAGAAACATCCCAAGACATGTGCAGCTACTTGGTCTTCAACAAAGGGTTCAAATACGTTCGCTTGAAGAAAGATAATCTCTTAAATAAATGGTGCTAGAAAAACTGGCTGTCTACATGCCAAAGATTAAAGTGAAACGCATATTTAGTGCCATGTAGTAAAGTCAAAATGGATCAACAATCGAAATATTGAAACAGAAACATTAAATCTACTGTAATAGAAAGTAGGTAGAAATTTTAAAGACATAGGTATAGAGGAGTCAACAAAACATGGACTGCATGGGAAATACTTCAAGGAAACAACAACCGGGATCTCATCTTATTAAAAAGCTTTTGCACAGCAAAACAAATCACCACAGAGTTAAAAGGCAGCCTATAGAGTGGGAGAAAATGTTAATCAATTATCCCTCAGACAGAGGACTTCTATCTAGAACATATAAAGATTTGAAAACAATGAGAATCCCAGATTCAAGGACCCACTCAAAATATGAGCTTCAGAGGTAAATATGGACTTCTCACGTGAAGAAATACAAATGGAAAATAAACATAAGAAAAAATGTTCGACATCATCTATCATTCAAGAAATGCAAATTAAAGTAACACAGATTCTATCTCACCCCCCAAAGAATGGCTGTCATCAAGAATTCAACCAATAACAAATACTGGAGTGGCTGTGAGGAAAAGGAACCCTTCTCCATTGCTGGTAGGATTGGTGCAATCATTATGGAAATCAGTGTTAAGATTCCTCAAAAAATTAGGATTAGAGGTCCTATTTGACTCAGTTATCGCCCTTTTGAGTATCTTCCTGGGAGAATTAAAAATATCATCCCACAGTAATATATGTGCACCCATGTTTACAGTAGCATAATTTGTAATAGCTAGATTTTGTCAATACTACAAATGTCTATCAACTGCAGAATAGATAAAAAAGATATAGTATTTTTATACAATGGAGTACTATTCAACTATAAAGGATAAATTTGAGACTTAACAATGGATGCAACTGAGACCATACTCATAAGTGAAATAAATCAGATTCACATGGGTAAACATCATGTGGTCTCCCTGTTGGAAGAAACTGAAAGAGTAAAACTGAAAGGTTTAAAATGTACAATAGATATTGTGAAATGGGAAGAAATTATTCAGAAGTAAAAAGGAACTAGGATGAGTAAAAGGGAAAAGATTAATAAGGAAAAGGTAAAAATGCAAGTTGGTTATATGATTTGTGTCTCTTAATTCTTTAAAAAATTTGTGCTAACAATTGGAGAAACTTTTATCCCCATATCTTGTACACTGAGCAACCATTTTAAAGATAACATTGTAGTGTATTAACTATTTTTATTCTCCTATTTTATTATGAAATTTTGTTTTCCCTTCTTTCCATTAAAAAATGATAGCCTGTTCAAAAATGGTGCTGGGAAATTGGTCATCTATATTCAGAAGACTGAAGCTGTCCCCTTATCTCTCACCATTTACTAAAGTAAAATAAAAATACAGTCAAGATCTAAATATTAATACAGAAAACATACACTCCTAGAAGATAAAATAGGTAAAACACTTTATGTCAAGAATATAGTTACATACTTCTTGAACAGAAAAACAATTGCACAAGAAATATGAGCATGAATAAACAAAATGATTATATCAAATTGAAAAGTTTCTGTACAACAAAAGAAACAGCAGAATGTAGAAACAATCTACAGCAAGAGTAAACATTTGCGAGCTTTTCCTCAAACAGAATTAATATCTAGAGTACATAAATAATTCTAAAATACCAAACCACCAGAAATAAAAGACTCGATCTAAAATGGGAAAGTGAAATGAATTGACACTTCTAAAATGAAGATGTAAAAATGGCTAATAAACACATGAAAAAGATGTTTCACATTTCTGACCATTAGAAAAATACAAGGGAAAACAACACTGTGATTTCATCTTATACCGCATTCAATGACAGTGTTCAAGAAATCGAATAATAAATGCTGGTATAGCTGCAGTGAAAAAGAACCCTTCTGCATTGTTGTTGAAAATGTAAAGTAGCATAACCATTATGGAAATCAGCATGAAGAGTTCTCAAAGAACTCAAATTAAAATTAAATTAAAAATTCCATTTGACCCAGCAATTTCCCTTTTACATATTTTTCCAAGATATCAACTTACAATGATACATGAATACCAGCGTGTACATGTTTACAGCAGTACAATTCATAATAGTCAAATCCTGGAAGCATCCTGGATGTCCATCAACAGATGGATACATAAAGAAAACATGTTATCTATGTGTAATGAAATATTTTTCAGCTATAAAGAATAATTCAACACATTTCTAGAAAAATGAATAAACCCAAAAAATATAATAATAAGTGAAATAAGTCAGAAAAAATTAAATTCCATATGATATCTCTCATTTGAATGAGGCAAAGTGTAAATAAAAAAGCAAACAGAATTGATAGGAGGAAACTAGGAGTTGGACTTTTGCAAACTGCAAAGATTCCAAGAGTCCAAGGGCAGGGAGAAAAAGATTTATGATATGTCATGTACATATACAAAATATCCACAATGATGTAAACATTGTAAGTCATAAATATGAATTAAAAATAATAATATTAACAATAATGAAGACAATAGGGAAAAGGAGTCTAGTGATTGAGACAGAGAGAAGTGAGGATGGGAAGGGGAATAAAAATGAATCAAGACACATTATGTACGCGCACCTACTTCCTAAGATGAAAGTGAACTCCATGTATTGCGAGCATTTACTAACAAAATAAAGCTTTAAAACAACTCCACTTGTATCATTGTAGCAGAAAATATACAGCAGTTCAAGCAGAAAAAGAATGTAGAGTTTAAAAGCACAAATACTGGGTTTGAATTTCTGTGTTGTCACTAACTTTAAGAATTTAAAAAACTCAACCTCTCTTTCTTCATTTCCTTTTGTAGACACTGATAACCCAAATAAAAACAATAAGATAGATACATTTCAAACATTTAATGCCTTCTCAGGAATAATTCTGTAAGAGTTGTTTATCAAAATTGTTAAATTACTCTATATGCATATTATATATATATATATATATATATATATATATATATATATATACTGCATTAATGTTCTCTAAGTTTCTTTACCTGTTCTTACAGATGAAGAATAGAATCACTGTAAGGATGCATCATAAAACAGTGAAATAGACCCTCACTAGATGTAGCTCCTAGTAGCATATACAATGAACTCAAGTGACTTTTATTCATTTTTCCTCTCCATTCTCAATTTTGTCTATGCTACCAGTCTGTGATCTTCATTCGTGACAAAAATGCTTATGGACAAGAAGTGTCAGGATACATTGACTATGCAAACAGACTAAAAACTGAAGACTTTGAACTCTACTTTAGTGGGAAAAAAAGACTCCTCCCAAGACCTACAGACCTGAGGTAAGGCGTACATAATTCTTATACCTTCAGAGGCAAGGATAATGTGATTTTGTTTCATGTTCTGTGTAATACATGCAAAGTTAGTGTACATGTAGTAGGAATGTGATTTCTGTGTCTTTTATAAATTTTAAAATAAGGCATTAACATAAAGTCATTTGCTACTCTGGAAGCCTAAGGAACAACTCTTCAGGGACAAGATAAGTCAATTCTGTATGACAAAGTGAAGTTGATTGTCAAAATCACTACCCTCTGCGTAGAGGTAACACTCTGCACTGTCTACCTAGATGTTTTGAAATCGATCCATTAACACCTCCTCTTTCCAGTTCCTCAGTCAAAACACAAAGCAATTTCTCACCAGCTCATCTTCCTTTACTGTCATCTGTCATTGTTTTTACTACTTATCTCTACCTACCCTCTTGCTGGCTCCTGCATCCCAGTACCTGGATCTACTCTACTGTGCCAGTGTATTCACAGATTGATTCCTCTGGATAGAGCTCAAGGCAAACTTTTATTTGACCACTGTTCACTTATGGTTCAATTAAAAATAGTGGCAAATCCTACTTTAACTCTTTACTGCACTGAGATCTTTATTTGACAGTTGCAACAGTACTCTACTCCTTTGAGAACTTTCTGTTTATTCTTACTGCTGTTACCTAAGACTTTCTAACCAATCAATGGACTACTTTCCTACTTAACCTGTAATTTAACTTTCTTACACTAATCTCCAATGCCCATGTCTTTTTGTCCTTTTATTATACCTCAAGTGTAAATTGGTCTAGATATCTTCTTTAATGGACCTCTATCTAGATACCTGGGTACTGCTGAAATTTTACAAAGATGTAGATAACTGCTACTAATAATTTATAATTTCTAAACTCAACTAGGTCACTTGTGACAACTAAAACTTGCGTTCAAAAATTAAACTCATTTGTTAATTTCTCAAGCCTGTTTCGGTTTCTGTGCTACTTATCTTAGCAAGTGGGACCATTGTTAAAACTGAAATCCTTAAGATTACATATTGTTGGTATTAAAAAAAGCGTATAGACCAATGGCACACAATAGAGGACCCAGAATTAAACAAACTAACTTGCAGTCAGTGGAATTCCAACAAAGGTGCTAAGCACATGTATCACTAGAGAAGGGACAGTATTTTCAATAAATGGTGCTGGGAAACCTGGGTATCTGCAAGACGGAGAATGGATCTAGACCCCTATGTCCTACCAGTTAGAAAAATCAAATCAAAATGTTACAGAATTACATGTATGATGTGAAAGTATTAAAAAAGGGAAATGTTTCAGGACTTTGAAATGGGGAAGAATTTTTTGGACAAGCCTTTGAATGCCACTGAGCTAACTCCTCAGAGAACTAGAATTAGAAGTTCCATTCAATGCAGCTATTCCACTTTTGGATATTTTCCCAGAAAAACTGATCCTGTCATGCTACAGTGATATATGTGCATCCATGTTTATAGCAGCACAATTTGTAATAGCTAAATCTTAGCAACAACCCAAATGTCCATCAGTCACAGAATGGATAAAAAAAAAAAGATGTGTTATTTTTATGCTATAGAATATTATTCAGCTCTAAAGAAGGGTAGTCTTGAGGCTTTTTTTTTTTTAATCGGTACTGGGGATGGAACTCACGACCGCCTACTTGCAAGGCAGGTACTTATGCTGCTGAGCTAAATCCCCAGCCCCAGTCTTGAGGCTTTTATAAGTAAATGGGGACAACTTGAAACCATATTCATAAGTGAAATAAAGCAAACTCATATTTGTAAATATCATATTGTCTTGCTAGTTAAAAAAACTGAAACAATAATAAGATCCAAAATGTACAATAATACAGTGCTCAAAAGGAAAGAACTGGCATGGAGGGAAGTAAAAAGAAGAAGGGAAAAGATTATATGTACATAGATACACATGTATATGCGTGTCTGTATGTGTATATACAAGATAGATAACTGTATACTAATCTCTGTTAGTTCATCCAAAAGATGTGCTTTCTTTGATTGTTTGATCATTTTTATCCCTAAATCTTGTATCCTAAGCAACTACTTCTAAGTAGTTCAACTACTTCTAACAATATGCAATATACTAACTAGTGTTAATTTCCCACTATTTTTTTGAAATTCTGTATAGTTTTTATCCTTTTTCTGTTTTGCTTTTTAAAATAAAAAGCAAAATAAAATAGACAAATAGGATCATAGCCTGCAAAGCTTCTGCTAGCACAGAAAACAATAAAATGAATAGAAAACCTACAGAACAGCAGAAAATATTTGCAAGCTATATATCCAGCAAGGAACTACATATCCAAAATATACACAACACCAAAAGTGCTATAGTATGAACACAAATAACTTGATTTAAAAATGAGCAATAAATTTAGACATTTCTGAAAAAGAGATACGCAAGGCTGGGGATATGACTCAGTAGCACAGGTGCCTGCCTGACAAGCACAAGGTGATGAGTTCGATCCCCGGTACCTTTGCTCCCAAAAAAATGATATGCAAATAACCAATAAATCCATTAAACATGTTCAACATCAGTAATCATGAGGTAAATGTAAATTGCAACCACAAGAAGATACTACCTCACTCTAATAGTAACTGCTATGACAAACAAAGTTGCTGATGAGTATGTGAAAAGAAGAACCCTTACACGGTGTTGCTGGGAATGTGATTTAATGCAGACATTATGGAAAACAGTATGGAGACTCCTCAAAAAGTTAAAGAACAGAACTTCCGTAAGATCCAGCAGTCTCTTCACTGGGTGTTTATCCAAAGAAAATGAATCAATATGTCAAAGACACATCTGCCCTCCCTTTTTCATTACAGCAATATTCACATAGGCATGGGAAACACTTAAAGGTCCATCAGTTGATAAATGGAGAAAAAGAAATTTAGTACATTAGTATAGTGGAATATTTTTCGACCAAAAAAATATAAAATCCTGGGCTGGGGATGTAGCTCAGTGGTGGATTATTGGCCTCTCATATGTGAAGTCATGGTTTCAATCCCTAGAATCATCAAAAATAGTAGGAAATCCAGTCATTTACAAAAATCTGTGTAACTAATGGTCATTATGGCAACTTAAATAAGCAAAGAATGGAAAGACAAATACAGCATGATCTCAACCAAAATGTGAAATTCAGTAGTTTGATCTTGAAGAAGCTGATGGTAGGATAAATATTAGCAGAAGGTAGGGAAAGTAACATGGAGGGGAGATAGACAGAGTTTGACCAACAGCTGCAAAGTCAGGGTTATATAGTAATAAGAAATCCTAACATGTTGCAAATAGTACAGTGACTATAGACAAATAATAATATACTGTATGATTCAAAAGTTGTTTTTTATTATTTTTATAATAGGGAGACAATATGGTATTTATCAATGTGAGTTTGAGTTATTTCACTTATGAGCATGGTTTCAAGTTGCCACCATTTACCTATAAAAACCTTGATTATCCTTTTTATAGCTGCATAATATTCCATTGTATAAAAATACTACATCTTTTTTATCTATTTTGTGGTTGATAGGCATTTGGCTTGTTTCCAAAATTTAGCTATAACAAATTGTTATGCTATGCACGTGGGTGCATATATAACACCATGGCATAACATTTTCAATTTTTCTGGTAAACATCTTGTAACCTGAACAACTAGTTCTCAAATAACAATGTACAATATATTAGCTGATGTTAATTTCCTATTTTTTTTAAATTATGTATCATTTCTATCCTTTTTGTTTTTTAAATAAAAAGAAATAATTTTGAATATTTTCACCATGAAGAAATGATAAATGAGTTAGGATAATGAATAATCTGGTCACTCTATTCTAAAGTTCCATCTCAATTTCATTTAATTTAATTTCATCCACTACTGAAGGCATCTTATAGAGTTTCATTAATGTTTGCATAGTAGTGATTTTTAAAGTTCTGTCCTTAGCTTTGGGGGATTTTTTTTGCTAGAATTCTTCCTGATTATAACCTTTTCTCATCATTTATTAAATTATCCTGCAATATAATTCAGGAAGAAAACATTTTTATAAGGTATTTAATCATTTTTCTTTAATTTACAAAAAGAATACAAGGGAAGAATCACATACATACATGCAAGTATAATGAAAAGTTACTCCTCATCTCATACTGGTTATACTAAGTTTTACTTAGAAGAAATACTGTAGAATTTATTTGTTTGACCCTTCTTTTCAGAAAGACATGATATTAGCAATTTTTCCCGTGGATAACTTATAAATGATCTCTCATTTTGATTTTAATGTTCATTTTCATGACTACTGATCAGGTTGGCCATCTTTTATTGATTACTGAGATTTCTTTTCTGTGATGTACTTTTCTCTCTTTTTCAACTAGGTGATTCTTTTCTGGTAGACTGGCAAAATTTCTTTTATTTATTGTGGACATTGATTAATCTTTTGACTCCTCTGTGTATTTAAAAATGTCATGACACATTTTCCTTACATCTTCTTTGATGATCAGAGATCAGACATTTTAGTTGCCAGATTGATATAGTTTAAACTTTTACTCTTCAGTTCACATTTTTAAATTTTGTCTCATAAACTCTTTTCTAGAGGACATAAAGCCGCTGTCTTACAAAGTGTTTTAGTTTTCTTTATATTTTATATCTTTAACTTAGTACTGAAGATAGAGGATGGGCAGGTGTCACTAGGAGAAAATTCTTTTATATATAGCTCTATACTTAGTTTGATTCAGAACTAAGATAGATATCTGTAAATTAAGGGTTTCATAAGGGCTCTATTTCTTTATCTTCTGGCATGGTATTTTTATGTTATATAGAAAGAGACATTTCTGTAATTAGAATCGTTCCTCTCACATTCACTGTGGAAAATATAACTGGTGACAGACTACTGCAGCTATTTTGAAATGCAGCCACAGAAGGATCCCAGAGAATCTGATCATCTTGTCAGTTCAGATTCAAACTTGGAGGCTCAGTAGCTTTTCAAAACCCTTGCGAATGATTTCTGA